CTCTGAAATAGTTGAAATTTAAAACATTAAAAAATGTGAGAAGTTCACCTTCTAAGAACACCATTAAGCGTTTATACGAAAAATTTTCGACTGGTAAGGCTCTTTCTAATCCGAAGAGGCCATATAAAAGTCGACCAAGGCGATCGGCCGAGAATATCGCTGCCGTACGAGCCAGTGTTGATAGGTCCCCAAGAACATCCCAAAAACGCCGTTCTCAGCAGTTGGGCATGGCTCGGTCCACTTTACAACGGATTATTCGCAATGATTTGCATTTGTTCCCATACAAAATTCAATTGACGCAAAGAATGTTGCCTGCGGACAAGCCTCGTCGATTGGAATGGGCCCAAAGAGTCATCGAAATGGCCGAAGATGACGAGCAATTCTGGAACAAAATTATCATGTCCGATGAAACCCATTTCATATTGAATGGGACCGTAAATAAGCAAAATTGCCATTTTTACGCCACTGAAAATCCTCAGGAGATTCAAGAAGTGCCTCTTCATGACGAAAAAGTCACAGTTTGGTGCGGCGTTAGTGCGAAAATGGTTATTGGGCCGTTTTTCTTCCAAAATGAAAATGGCCATGCTGTTAACATCAATCAGGAGCGTTATCGCGACATGATGACCAATTTTGTGATGCCAATTATTCGTTGAAAGCGTATGAGGCAGTTCTGGTTTCAACAAGACGGCGCTCCACCGCACACAAGTTGCATAACAATCGATTTTCTGAAGAATTTGTTTCTGGGCCGTTTGATGTCGAAAAGTGGTAATTTGGACTGGCCACCGCGTTCGCCCGATTTGACGCCGCCTGACTTCTTCTTGTGGGGATATTTGAAGTCAAAGGTTTACGTTAACAAGCCAAGGACCGTAGAAGAGCTCAAGGACAACATTCCTGAAGAAATAGCCGCTATTCCGGCCGAAATGTTGGCAAAAACGATGGAAAATGCAGCAAAAAGGGCACAATACGTCATCAACGCCAGAGGCGGCTATTTGAGAGATATCATATTCAAAAATTTATGTAAACAAATCTACTTGGAACAAATTAAATGATAACATTGCCAACCACCAAATTTTTATTTTTTTCTTTGATTTAAAAAAAAAACATGGGTCCGTCGAATATGGACAACCCTGTATATTTTTTACTCATAGATCTAGGGAAAACTGATGATGTTGTCCTGTTGATTGCTGGGAAATTCCTGCAAACTATCTCTGATCTGATACAGGGAGCTCTAGTCACCTTATCACGTTGCAATGAACTAGGCGTGAATCCATCAAAGACAAAGCTCGTCCTCTTTACGAGGAAAAGTAAATGTCCTTCCTTTATACCACCGATGCTGGATGGGGTCACGCTAAATCTCTCCTCTAAAGCTAAATACCTCGGCACTATTCTCGCCAATTAAACTTGAAGAGTAACATTGAGGAGCGAGCAAAGAGAGGCTTGATTGCACTCTATTCTTGCAAGAATAGGTAAAAGCTGGGGCCTCAAGCCACTCATCATTAAATGGCTGTATGAGTCAATTGTTCGTCCCATCCTAACCCATGGAGCTCTAGCCACGTGGTATTCCTTGAGTAAATCATCTTACGTCACATCGACAATGTTCATCGAGCCACATCCCTACTAACAACGGGTGCATTAAAGAGCACACCTCTAGCTGCAATGGACACCCTACTATGCTTAAGTTCATAGCTGTCCATTCCGACGGTTCAAAGATGGAATGCGGAACGGGAGCTGGTGTCTTTTGTAACACTCTTAATGTTCGCGAATCCTACAAGCTTAGCGTATTCCAGGCGGAAATTTTTGCGGCCAAAATAGCCATAGACATGTTGGTAACGAAGAACAACGAGGTTAGCAGTCCGGTGACTATATACGTCGATAGTCAAGCGGCACTGAAAGCCCCTAAACTGCTCTACTACCTCTCCAGGAGATCCTTGGAAAACGCTAGGTTGTCCCTCAAGCTCTGTTCAGTTCCTGGTCATTACAATATTCCAAGCAACGAGACTGCAGACGAATTGGCTATTGGAAATCGACTACCACTTCATGAACACTACACTCGGAGAGAATTCAACAAAAATGGCTGGACGAAAGGGAATGCAACATCTCCAAATGAATCTAGCCCACACTCTCGGAAAAGAGAACACAACCGCTAATGTCATTGTCTAAACCTGACTTTAAACTTGTGGTGGGTATCATCACAGGTCACTGCAAACTCCTCTACTATCAAGCCTTAGGTTGTTTTGGACTGCAGGAGATCCTTGGAAAACGCTGGATTGTCCATCAAGCTCTCTTGGGTTCCTGGCCATTACAATATTCCAGGCAACGAGACTGCAGGCGAATTGGCTATGCTAGGATCCGAATCGACTACCATTGAAGTTGAGAACTCGGCTAATGCACCCCTATGCCACTTCCTCCAAGTTATTCATGAACACTACTCGGAGAGAATTCAACAAAAATGGCTGGACGAAAGGGAATACAACATCTCCAAATGAATCTAGCCCACACTCTCAGAGAAGAGAACACAACCGCTAATGTCATTGTCTAAACCTGACTTTAAACTTGTGGTGGGTATCATCACAGGTCACTGCAAACTACTCTACTATCAAGTCTAAGATTGTTTTGGACTGCAGGAGATCCTTGGAAAACGCTGGGTTGTTCATCTAGCTATGTTGGGTTCCTGGTCATTACAATATTCCAGGCAACGAGACTGCAGGCGATTTGGCTAGGCTAGGATCCGAATCGACTACCATTGAAGTTGAGGAACAAATATTCTTCACATAATTTCACTATAAATCTCAAATTGTAGCGTCTTCCAGGTAGAAATCATTGCTATCAAAAAGGCCATAGGTCTGTTGGCGAACAGAAACAGTGAACTAAGGAGGCGTTGTAATGTCTTCAAAAAATTTGGCCGACAATCTCCAGGATGAGAACAAACCCACTCATATCAATGGGAAAATCTGACCAAAAACATGTGGTGGGAATCATTACAGGTCACTGTAAAGTCATAACTTCTAAGTGGAGTGGCAACGACTACTGCAGGCTTTGTCTAGACGAAGGGGAAACTGAAACGATCGAACATTTGCTCTGATAGTGTCCACTCTATTCGGCGTGAGACATAGAATTATGGGAAAACAAATTATACACTATCTGTCTCCATTCTCCGACACAGAACCAAAAAACAAAACGGGATTTTTATATCTATGTTTTTGAGAATTTTGACTCCCACTCTTATTATACCCTCCACCATACAGTGGAGTGTACATAAAATTTGTCATTTCACATGCAACACCTGGAAATTATCGTCGGAGACTTCAAAAAGTATATAACTCCTGATCAGAACAAAATTATAATGTTGAAATCACCATCAAGTCTACATTATATAATTTAGAGCTTTCAAAATTTAGCTCAAAGGTTTATAATGTATACTCTACTTTACTCTACTTTTAGGTATAGCCTTAATATAACTGTAACTTCAGGTTTTCGGTATTTTAAAGGTTTCTGCCGCAATTTCCAACAGAAATTGGCTGAAAGCTGACAATTGGGGTTCCCGATATGTCTGTGCTCTCCTTGCGAAAGATTTTCGATTCTGATCCACCAATCGGTATAGCCCTTATATAAAGGTACCTTCAGATTTTCCTCATTTTCCATGTTTCTGCCACGATTACACGATTAGATACGGGTTTCGCTGTTTACGTTATTTTTTTATTATACCCTACACCACAATGTGGTCAGGGTATAATGTCATTGTGCATTTGTTTGTAACAGGCAAAAGTAAACGAGATAGACCCATACTTCCTTTTGATGATCTGCATAGAATCACTTTCTGAGTTGATTTATGCATGTCAGTCCGTCTGTCCGTCCGTCTGTCTATGTATTCTTGTGAACAGAATGCAGGTCGCATTTATTATCCGATTGAGCTGAAATTTTGCACATATCATTTGTTTGGCTCAAGGACGAACCCTATTGGAGATAATCGGTCAAAATTTGGATATAGCTCCCATATATATCTTCTTCCGATTTGCCTTTTATTGTGCACCTAACGTGTAATATCAGTCCGAATAGTATGGAATTTTGCACATACAACCAAATTAGGCCTGAAAATAAGTATGCCAAATTTGATCGAAATCGGTTTAAATATAGCTATAGCTCCCATATATATTGTTCATCCGATTTGTTATTTTTGTCCTCCGCAGCCGTAATATGCACTCTGTAACAACAATATTTGGGAAAATATATCACATACAGCTCAGAAATACCTTTGCTAAATTTTATCGAGATCGGTTCAGATTTGGATATATATATATCCCATATATAACTTCGTCCGAACTGAGCCTAGAAGCTAGTATGCCAAATTTGGTGAAGATCGGTTCAGATATAGCTATAGCTCCCATATATTTTGTTCATCCGATTTGTTGTATTTGTTACCCGCAGCCGTAATATGCACTCCGTAACAACGATATTCAGGGAAATATATCAAATGCAGCTCAGAAATATCTTTGCCAAATTTTATCGTGATCGGTTCAGATTTGGATATCGCTCCTATATATATCTTTATCTGATTTCAAATTAATTTTGCACCAAATGGGCAATACAAGTCCGAATTTAAATGATGCAAATGCTTCGGCATATTTAGTCCTTTGAACTTTAAATTGTAATTAAAATCATAGGGTATATTATTGAATTCTCCCATAAAAACTTTTAATTGTTATGTGGAGCTCAACTAAATTAGCAAAGTGGTGTAGGGTATCATAATATCGGCCCCGTCCGACTTTAAGACTTTCTTTACTGGTTTTAATTAAAACAGATTGATATTCTAAGTTAACATATTCCATTCTTCTACTCTTCCATTATTTCATTTTATTTTCCCAAACATATGGTTTTCAACGACTCTCCCACTTAAAACAAAAGATTGGAAAGTAAACGGCATTTAAAAATTCACACGCCCGATTAAAAATTAAAAATATGAGCTCCGGTTTCTTTATGTCTGTCTAAATTCCTTCACTTACCTTCATCTTTAACATTTCCAATCAGAATATCGTAACCGCTAAGATCTGCTGTTTTCAAAAGTGTCATTGGATCTGCGGGCAAAAATGCTCCATCTATAGTTGGGGCCGAGGGAAAACTCAAAATTCCAGAATATGAGTTCCATTGTTGGACAGAAATTGTTTTCGCATCAACCTGTCGCATGCAAGCCATGACAGCTTGTGGATTTTCCTAAGTTGAAAACACAAAGAAGAGGAAAATAAAATTCATCAGCAAAGAAAAATTCGTATAATCGCATAAATACTCCACTGCTTACCGGTAACAATGAGGCATTACAGTTACAGTCATTTACCAAAGCTTTACCAATTTCAACCGCCTTCTCTGAAGTCATGTGGCTCCAGGGAGCATTCATTGTGCCCGACTGCATCATGCCACGTTTGACCAGGCCACGCGTTACCGGCGACATCAGTTGAGCATTCACGGAACTCGAACCAGCCGATTCACCAAACAGCGTCATCCATTCCGGATTGCCGCCAAATGCACGGGCATTCTCCTTCAGCCAACGCAAAGCCAAGGCCTGATCCCAAAGGCCCACGTTGCCGGGAGCTTCTTCTTCAAAACCTGGCATAACCGGTGAAAGATGTAGAAACCCAAATGCACCGACTCGATACTGGAACGAGGCAACGATCACATTGCCCACGGCCGACATAATCTCAGCGTTGTAAATGTCCAATGTGGCTGAGCCAGTCATAAAGCCACCGCCATAAATCCATATTAATATAGGCAAACCATTTGTGGTGTTCTGTGGCGTTGCGCTATGTATTAAATGGTCCTGATCGGTTTTAGATGAATGCTGTAAAGGGGAGAAGAAAGAGGAAAAGAATACCGGTAACAATGACTCTAATATGAATGTTATGTTCTTTATACCCACCTCACCACCATTGGTTCCACGACCATGTCGTAATCTTGCCTTCGCCGGAGCCCATATATTCATAAACAAACAATCTTCAGATACATTTGTGTTAGGATTCCATATCTCTTCACCGGAAAAGCCAGGGAAGTACTCATACCTTAAAACACAGGGAAGTAGAAGTTGGGCGAAAAGAGAAAGCGAAAGAGAATTACAAATTAATAACTGCCACTTGTAAATCGATTATGTTTGGATCCTTAACTAGACTAATAACTTTAATAACTATTATTATAGAATAAGTGTTGGAATACACCATATAATTGGAGCTACTCCATCCACCTGCGTGGCAATTTTTTCTTTTCTCCCTTCCACTATTCTTCGCGTGTATGTGTGTGTGGACCCATACATCGTTATGTACAATAAATAACATGAACATTAATTATTTATAATTGAATTGTTGCAAATGTCATCCCCCCGGAAATTGTTGTGTGTTCTACGAGCATGACACCCCGATATCCGTGTGGATAGATGGTCAAATGTCTGCCCTGCCGTTGTTAAGTTGTCATGTCACTCACACACTCGTGTCCTTCGTTATAATACCCTCCCAAATAATCAATTCCAATCATTTAAATAAGGCTTAGTTATTACTTACATCGGTATGGATGTATGTGTATATTTATCAGTCAGTATGGTATGGCCAAACTTTTGTAAGCAATAGACAATCCTCAAGTTAGAATTTAACAAGCTAAGGCTAATTTACACAATACTGTTAAAGTCATAACGCTCAATACCCCACAATACCTCAAATTTTCATAGTGATATCTGTAGAACTCAAGGAAATTCAGGATTTTTACTTGGAATTCGAAATAAGTCAACAAAACAATAGATTGAATATATAAAATCACCTGACTACGAGTACTTCAAACCATTCTTGATCTTGCACACTAATGTTTCGAGAGATCTTTGCAGAAATAATGTTTCTAGTTCGGGAAATCAAATTTTGATGCGGATTTTTTGAGATGTGACACCTTTCGAATAAATGAGCTATATACAAAGTGTCATTGACACATTTATATTTATCATACCCTCCACCATAGTATGGAGGCATATTAAGTTTGGTACTATTTTTTTAACACCTCGAAATATACATTTCAGATCCCACAGCATACAATTCTATGTCGATTTAGCGGTGTCCGTCCGTCTGTGGAAATCACTCTAGCTTGCGAACGAAATGAAGTAGGTTGATAACATTTTACTCAAATGTATATTATGTCTGAAGGACTTTTAGTAATGAAAATGGGCCATGTTGGTCCACGTTTTGGTATAGCCCCCCTGGTACTTCTCTATTTTCGGTATTTTGATGATTTAAGCGACACTATTCACCGGAAACGTTTCAAATTTGGTATTTGAAATTCAAAATGGGTGCTACAGCCTATGAGAAAAATACTGTCCGTGCAGGTCCTCACCTTCGTGTAGCTCCCATAAAACGGCACCTCCTTAATATTGCAGCCTATGACAGACAATTGTCTTTGCAGATGCACGTCTTTGTATAGCCCACATATAACGGTACCTCCCTATATACGACATTTTGATGATTTTTGCTACATTATTCACCGTTTATTTCAAGTTTCGAATTTGAATATGGTAATGGCTTGTGACAAACAATGCCTATGTATGTCCATGTCGTGTGGACCCCAATATAACGGCTATATTCGGTATTTTTAAGATTTTAACAGAATTTTTAACGGATTTTATTTATTTTTTGAAAATTGCCAAATTTGTACCAAATGATGGAGGGTATTCAAAGATCGGCAAGGCCGAACTTAAATCTTTATTACTTGGAGAGAAGGATAGAGATAGACCCATAGTTAATTTTGAGGATCTTCATAGAATCACTTTCTGAGTTGATTTATGCATGTCAGTCCGTCTGGCCATATATTTTTGTGATCAAAATACAGGTCGCATTTTAATACCCTCCACCTTGGAAAGGAGGGTATATTAACTTTGTCATTCCGTTTGTAACATCCTTAAATATTCGTCTTAGACCCCATAACGATGTCCGTCTGTCTGTCTGTTGAAATCACGATACAGCCCACATTATTTGACGTAGAGCGCCAAAATTTAGCAGAGCTATTTGTGTCTAGGATGGTTGGTATTGAAAATGAAATATATCGGTCCACGTTCAGGTATAGTCCCCATATAACGGTACCTCCCGATATTCGGTATTTTGATTATTTATGCCACATTTTTTCACGGATTTGTCTGAAAATTGGTATTTTTTGGTCATAACGGGTCCCTGAGCGTGTGGCAAAACATTGCATGTATAGGTCCACGTTGTGGTATAGCCACCATATAAAGGTACCTCCAGATATTCGGTATTTTAGTTTTTTTTTGCCACATTTTTTCACGGATTTATCCAAAAATTGGTATTTGTGGGTCATAATGGTTTCTAGCTCCGGTGACGAAACATTGCATGTATGGGTCCATGATTTGGTATAGCCCCCATATAACGGTACCTCCCGATATTCGGTAATTTGATGATTTTTGCAACATTTTTTCACGGATTTGTCTGAAAATTGGTATTTGTTGCTCATAATGGGTTCCAGCTCCGGTGGCGAAACATTGCATGTATGGGTTCATGATTTGGTATAGCGCCCATATAACGGTACCTCCCGATATTCCGTATTTTGATGGTTTTTGCCACATTTTTTCACTGATTTGTCTAAAAATTGGTATTTGTGGGTCATAATGGGTCCTAGTTCGTGTGGCGAAACATTGTAATTATAGGTTCACGTTTTGGTGTAGCCACCATATAACGGTACCTCCCGATATTCGGCATTTTAATGGTTTTTGCCACATTTCTTCTAATGTTTCTTTTACCCTAAGGTGGAGGGTATTAAAAGTTTGGCCCGGCCGAACTTAATATTGTTTTACTTGTTTATCTGAATGAGATGAAAGTTTCAAGCAAAGACGATCCAATTGATATTGCTGAGAATCAGTTAAAATTTAGTTATAACAGGATGAGATGAAAAAACTGCAACCAATTTCAGACTGCTGTCATTTCTAAGCCACTCGTCCGACAGCTGTTAAAATTATTCCAGTGACAGCTCATTATACTGCCTACAAGCGAACAAAAGCATTTTTGTGAGAACTTTTCAGAAAAAAAGTTATTCGTGATGGAATTGAAGCGTGATAATGTGATTTCTTTATATTTGACTGGAAAACCACTAGTGGCTATCGTTAGAGCTCTCCAGTATTTAAATGTGAATAAATCTTTTGTGTCTCGAAACATCATCTCGAAACAAGTGGACGGAAAAAACAGCAACATCAGCCGAAATAGTTCGAAAAGTAAAGAAGCGACTTGATCGAAACCCGCGTCGCAGTGGCCGAAAAATGGCTCGTGAGCTGAACATATCGCAATATTCCATTCGGCAAATATTGAAAAATGAGATCAGGGTAAACCCATTGACATTCCAAAAAGTACAAGAACTTATACCGCAGCAAAAAGAAAATAGACTCAAAAGAGCTAAAGAGTTGCTTCGCTTGGCCGAAAGTGGTGAACTGCCGAATTTGGTTTTCTTCGATGAGAAAACATTCGTTGTCCAGCAGTTTGTAAACCAACAAATGATCGTGTTTACTTGCAAAAGAGGTCAGCTGAAAATATGCACCTTCGGTTGGCCACCAGAACTCAAGCGCCGTCCATGGTGATGGTGTGGGCCGCCATAACAGCCGATGGTCGCACTCCGCTCGTATTAATCGACCGTGGCATCAGAATAAATACGGAATATTATCGCGAAAATGTTCTGGAGGGTGTATTAAAGCCTTGAGCACGCAAACATTTTGAACGCAGACCTTGGACTTTCCAACAGGTCTCAGGACCATTACACTCAGTACCCGCGAGTTTCCTCGCTTTATTTGCAGCGCACAATGGCCACCAAAATCGCCGAATACCAATCCGTTGGACTATTGTGTCTGGAGTATTTTGGAAAGCAAGGTTGGCACTAAAAAATACCAAAGTGTCGATCACCTCAAGCAAGCGCTACGCCGGAAATGGGTTAAAATACCGCAGAGCAACATTCGGGCAGCGTGTGACGGTTTCATTGGCCGTTTGAAGACCATAATTCGTGCCAAAATTGACCAATTCGAACAAATCTAAACTTATTCTAAAATTTGGTGCTATTTCCGACATTTTTTGCCTTCATTCAATAAAATTTAAAAAAAAAATTATGTATAAATTTTATTGGGAATACAGATACACATGTGTATCCGCCTATTGTATTATATAAATAAATAAGATTTGAATTGAATCTCGTGCTTATTCCAAGAATGACATATTTAGAATTGCTTTTCATGGATGCGTAACATACGATAATGTTATGGACTATGACTATTTAAATTCACATTGTTTGTCGTTGTGGAGCATTCCTCCAAGATTCGCGGAATATTATACCAATGCCTATTAAGAACAAAAATTTCGTTCAACCTTCACCACAATTTTATTGAATGTCGAAATGTTGATGCAAAAATTTGTTCAAAAGAACTGAGGACAATTTAAAGGACAACATTTCACATTAACTCTTCAGTATCGACATAAAATCGATAACTAAATTGGTGTACATTCTATTTAACATTTTATTGATTTATATTTTAAACACATTTTTTTTTTCGTATGCAACCTTCGTAAACAATTCCTATGAGTAGCGGTTACATCCAAAAAGCAAAAATAACAATTTCAACAACTGGCAACGTTCTCAAGCTGTAATTAGTTTGTGTCAATTTCTATTGAAATGTCTAAAATAGTTGCAGTTAAAAAAAAATGCCGAGGGTTAAACTTATTTTTCCTCAATACAGGTACATAGTTTGGAGTTGAATTTTGGAGGGTATATAAGCACCTCGGAATATACATTTTAGACCCCACAAAGTAAAAATATTCTTGATTAGCATACAATTTCTGGTTTTAGCGATGTCCCTCCGATGTCTGTGTAAATCACTCTTTCTTCCGGACGAAATGAAGTAGGTTGACAAAATTTAACTCAGTTAGGTCTGCTGGACTTCTGGTAATGAAAATAGGCTACATAGGTCCACATTTTGGAATAGCCCCCACATAAATATTCCTACAAATTTACGGTCAGATTTTTAACCCGAAATTGTTGTAAATTG